TACTTAACAATATATGAGCAAAGGGTACTTTTCTTGTCTCTTCCAGGGTGTGAAGATTGCAATCAGTATCATGATTCAGAATGTCCAGAGCTGGGTCCTGTGGTGACAGTCAAAGACTCCTTTGTGTTAAGTAGAGCAAGGTAACTTTTACAATATTGCATTTTTGAAGTAAACCAAACCTAATTGGCAACATTTCAAACTTGAATTTGAATTTTGCTTTAGGTGTTGCATTTTAAATGGAGAATGTTCTAGGTCTTATGTTGATTATATCAAATTCTAAATGTCAACTGAAATGAGCTAGCATGTGTAGTGATTAAAGAGTTGGAAAAGGACTGGAGAAACACATGTGTAAGCCTTCCTTCGGTCATCAAAATTCACTGAGTGGCTTTGGGCCAGCCACCTTCTTTTCAGCCTAGAGTTCCTGAAAAAAAGGTAAAATGGAAACTACTAGATAGTCATCATGATCATCATCTGTGTCTTCAGCCTCTGGAGTTTCTGAATATCACAAAGCAAGTAATGGTTATGAACTACTCAATTTCAGCTAAGTGGGAATTCATGACCAATTACCTTTTCATAGGATTGAAGAAGCATCCCAATCTGATGGCCTCCAAATGTATTATGGGCTACAGAATACAGCATGTAGTATTCTTGAAGTTGTACTTTCTCATTTCAGAAGGTTATCAAGATAAGGAAACCTCAGAGAGGTGGCAACTTTCTAGGATTTAGCAGAAAAAGCAGTGTGAGAGATTCATGAAAATTACACTTTATTAATAGCATAAAATGGGAGCAAAAGAAGCCATGTTTATATAAGGAGAAGAGGTAGTCCTTATATAGCAGCTACCTTGACAGTGATTGTTTGCAGTTATGATAGTGATGAAAAACTAACACTGCAACCAAGTCTTGTATTTGCAGGTCTGTAAAGCAAAGAAAAGGTGAAATAAGATTCTAAGCATAGTTGTAGTCACTAAACGATGACTACCTATTACACATTTGTAAATCCTATTTTGAAAGACCACTATGTTCCAAGAACTGAAATCTGTCTTTACCTGTTTGGGTAAAGACAAGCTAAAACTCACATCATTAAGATTAGTTTTCTCTTGTCAGACATAACAATGTTAAATTTTCAAATAAATGGTAACTTACAGTGGATATTTGTTTTAATAAATCATCTAGTTTGTGAGTATTTGAGTTCTTACTACCAGATATAATTTCTAGTGTGTCAAGAGGCTTTCTGTTTTTATCTTTGTCACAGCAATGCGTTATAAATGTGCAACTCGAGTCAAAACTGATTGATCTCTAGAGAAAGAATAATATAGAAAAAGGTGTGAAAATAAATAGTTCCCAGGAAAGTTTTTCAAGCCTTTCCCATAATTGTTTCCAATAACATGGTAGAGCAGTTTTGGCTTTGGATAGAAAATATTTTTTCTCAATTTCAGTCCCAGTTCATTTCAAATGACAGATGATCAGATAGCAGGAGACACATGGGACTTCTGTTCATTACCATACAGTAAGGTCAAAGAGTATAACCTGGTTTTTCTTTTGTATTAGTTATTGTTTTGCTATGTGACATTTTTGCATAGAATCTGTCCTTATCCATGTTAAGATGCTGGGTTTATTCTATAAGAGTTGAATTCTTTCTTCCATAACTATTGCCAGATACGTTTTAGCATCACAATATTCAATTTTTAGATCATCTCTTCCTTCAAACTTGGAGATCAGACAACATGAAGATGGGACTGAAGGTGTTTTTGCAATAACTCAACTTGTGAAGCGTACCCAATTTGGTCCCTTTGAATCCAAGAGAGTTGCCAAACTAGAAAAGGAATTAACATTTCCACTGAAGGTACAGTGATTCCAAATTCAGGTCAATCAATTATAAGGACTTGGAAAATATGTCTATCTTTTCCTGATCTGATGCCTTCAATACTGTAGATATATAATTTCTAAATGAGCATTGCTATGTTCATTGAGAATTACAGTCTAATACTACTAGCTGATCATTTGTTTATATATAACTTTCAGATAATGTGAAGAATCAAGACAAAGTTATTTATGGCCTTGAGCAAATTTGATTCTCATAATCTAGAGGGAAGTAGTGAATTTAAAAGCTTTCCTTCCTGCAATGAATCAATGCTTTGATCATTGTAACAGGCATCCTCATATCTTGCCTTTGAGTTTCCTAAGGGAATAGTGAGCTAGATAGACTTTTCAATCAGATATAACAAAGCAGACCTTCTATTTGTATTGGGGACAATTAATACCTACTGTTAGATATGTGAAAGTTTCTGCTAGAGTAAGCAAGACATATTAAAACCATGTGAAATAAATTAGTAAATGAATGGCAATAATGTATAAATAGCTAACAAACAAATTCAGCTTATTCAGACCAAGAATTGGAAAGAAAGCCAAGGTGCTTTTAAGATAGGAAGACTCCAAGCAATTCAGGTTATTGTTTTCCTCATCACTGGAACATGAAATCTAGTTGTTTCTGTTTTTTCTATGCCATTACAGTGCTATCTGGACATAGGGAACCCATTGGAATCAGGTCATGCTTGATTCTAGGGGTCCCCCAATTTGAGGGGGACCTTGGACACATTTTTCATTTTTAAGAAGTGCCATGGCATACAACTATAAAATAGTGTGATATATTTGAAATGGCCAGATGAAAAATGCTGGAGGTACCTTGATCTTTCTTCTGGAGAAAATAACTCTAATAAAATAAGTGAGTCATTGTATAGTTTGTTACTCTATCAAAATGATTGTTAGGAGCACGTTTGTATTGACATTCTATATGGGCTTTGTATAGGTTTTTCAGAAGGAGGGGTCTCCAGTCTATTTTGATACATCTAATGAAGACAACTGTAACTGGATGATGATGGTGAGACCTGCCAGTCTATATGAGCATCAAAACCTGACTGCTTTTCAACATGATAATGACATTTACTTCACTACCTCTCGGGACATCCCACCGGGAACTGAGTTAAGAGTATGGTATGCAGCTTTCTACGCCAAAAAAATGGAAAAGCCAGTTCTAAAGCAATGCATTGTCAATGGTATGTTCGGTTGTTTGTGGATAGGTTCTTTACTACCATACAGCATTTTCTCTGACTCGGTTCTTGTGGATATTTTCCTGGGGTGGGAATATTCATGCAGGTATCTTCTCCACATCAAAATTGATAACATTATTTTTTCCAATTCACATGTTATTTGAAGGTGGAGGCTACTAAATTGGATCCAAAGATAACACAAATAGAACTTTGCTTCCCATCTCCAAGCCTTTGATGAAGTTCAAGAGTGCTTGTGGCATGGAATATGATAGGCACAAGGATTTCAATAGTTAGGAGAATGAAAACAATTTGATACTAATTTTCCCTTGTGCAGGCAAAAATGTGTTTCTCTTCTTTCAAAATAAGTTTGGGCCCAGCCTATTATATGTAGCCTGTTTTATTTTGTTTGACAGAGACATAGGACACACACACACAAACAAGGAATAATCAGAAGATTTGAGATCAAACTTAATAAATCAGTGTCTCAGAGAGGTTAATTGTTGAGAATTATCCATAGTCAATGTGTACGTGAGCAACCACATCCAAGGAGCATGGAGCTAAAAGCATGATCCACTAAATATTTCATGCTCCAGATCCTGAGTATTAGCTGGGCTAAACAAACTTGATTTCATTAACTATCTCAGATTCTGCTGCTACTTTACGTACATATTTTCCTTCCAAGACTAATTGGTATTGTTTAATACTCTATTTATGTGAACTATGTTAAGTTTACCTATGTAGTTACTAGGAATTGAAAATGACTTGATAGCACCTAATCAATCATTAGGATTCTAACTTCCAATCAGTTTGAAGTTGATGTTGATGTTGGAGTTGTTTTGGACTGATAGGTTATGGATCAGAGTCATAGCTTCAGATTTTATAGATTTTTATAGAGTTGGAGCTTCTTTAGCCTCCATCACTTATCTGAGCTCTAAAAGGGGTGAAAAAAGTCCAGGATCCATATTCCTTTTCCCTAACATCTTCCCTTATTCCACAGAGGAGGAAACCAGAGTGGACATGATACAGTCTAACATACTTTTCAGCTGGTTGCTTTAAAACACAAAGCTTCAAAGAATTGTGTTTCAACAGAAATGCATAGAGAATGGAGGAAGAAATCTTGCTGTTTAAATCTTGTTTATCATACTATGTTCTGTTAAGAAAGAGAAAATACATATCATGCATGTGTGATATTCTCCAGACCTGAGTTTCTGTGCTATGTTTGTACATAATGCTGTCAGAATTCTTTAAAACTTTGTTTATTGAACAAACTTTACCTAATTGGTTTACACTTAAGTCAAAATGGGTGTGTTAGATGAGGGTTGATCTTCTCCATCTAATACCCAAAAAACAGTAGTTAGCTCTGTATATGAACAGTGAACTGGGACTATGTTAGAATAACATTTCTATATTCCTGGCTTGTCTAATTTTTCTGTATGTATGATGTAGTTATTGATTTACAACCGAAAATTTAAATATCCCACAACCCTTTGAAATAAATGATTATAACTAATTTTCTTTTTCCTTTCTCTTTCTATGTACACCTTTAAAAATATTGCTAAATTAAACAGAAAAAAATGTATACCTTGCCCTTAAATTTCTTGAATTTTATTTTATTCTAATAATTTAAATTGCAAGCATTTGTTGAAGTAATAAATGACAAATTACCAGAATGAAGATGGCTTTGGACATTAGTGAAGAACTGTTCATCAATCTCTATGCTCACTTAGCATTGTTACAGAAATTTGCTAAGTGGGAAAACAAGCTAATAAAAATATGGTCTCTTTAATATGTGCTTAGCTGTGGTGGAATGTGACCAACAACGAAATAAAAGCATGTATCCTGCTGCCTTTTCTTTTGAGAAACTCAAAAAATTAGCCAAGAATAATCAATCTGCCAGAACTGATGCTTCAGGTATCGGCACATTTTCATCTCTAGTGTATGTGTACAATATAAATCTGGAATATTTGTGTATTATCCCACAAAGTAAAATTGCAAATGTAATGAGAGTTATCAAACATAAATTGCTTTGTGGTGATTTTTTTTTAGTTTTGTATTTTCTCTCAGTCATTTTTCTATAAGATTTCAGCAGAGATTATTTTGAAGGCAGTTATTGACAATTTCATTAAATTTCAAAGAGCTGGTGTATATGATTTAAAAGAAGATCATACAATGGTTATCATGCCTTTAAAAAAATCCTCTAACAGTGAGAATTTGATGATTTATATGATAGTGAGTAAGTTTATAATGTGTTTTGTATGTTATGGTTGGAGGTGGTAACATTCATGGTCTTTTATATCTTGGGTGGTATTGATATTGTCTCAGCTTTGGGCAAAGGGTGAAAGTACAATACTGTTTACTTCAGAGGGGGATATTAAAATATAGATTTTTAGTTGTTTCTAAAGTTCAACTGGCCACTTTCCCCTGTGATGCAGGTTCTTATCGCTTTTTCCTTGTAGAACATGGGCAGGGTCATTTGGAGCAAGCTAAAACAGTTCCACAGAGCAATCAAAAGGATGTTCATCTAGAGAAGGCTCTGGAAGTTACCCATACCGATCAACCCATCACTATCTGTGAAAGTGCCAATTCCCAAGTGGATATGAAGAAAAAAACTCGACGGGGCAGGAAAGCCAAAGGAGCAAAAGTAGAAATACCTCTTGTGATTGTGGATGATAAAGATTCTACTGGTGAGACTAGGAAATCGTTAAAAGTAATCTCCATACTCTATGTTTTATGTTTGATACAGTAATAATTAAATAATTGTTCTAGAATGATTAGTAAAGAAGTGGGGCAAGGAGAGCTTCATGTTCCACCTTATGATGTAATTGCATTAGAGAACTTGTGAGAAAGGCAGTGGCAGGAGATGAGGCAATGCACGGAGATGCAGGAGAGAGTCAAATAGATGCACTGGGGTGAATGAGTGGCTGGGTCAAGCACAAAAGAGCTGAGGAAGGGCATGTAGAAGAGGGAGAGTCATCCCAGCAGCTTGTGATCTTCCCTGCTGGCTTCCACATGACCATGGGGCAGTTGGTAACAGTCATTCGGTAACATGGAGCAATGGTTGTAAGTTTTTGTAAATTCAATCAGTTTTTTTTTAAATAATATGCTTATTTTTTCATAATTCATTGATTTTTTTCTTGGTAGCAGTGAACTCAGTGGACCATGTGGCTGAAATTATCACTGAGGTCCCACCTGATGACACAGCGATTCCTTCAGCAGCAGAAGATCAAATTATGGAGCTGATGTTAACAAAGCTACCCAGTACTGCAAACAACATGAGTTCATTAACAAAGTAAGCTTTCCCTGCACAGGAAAAAATCCTGTTCTAAGTCCTGCTTACTTATGGTAACTCTGCTAGATATCGATCACTTATGATGATCCTGAAGTGGAGGACATGCGGAAAAAGCTTATTGGAAAAAAGATATCTTACCATACTAAATATAGTGGGACTTAGAAGTGAATAAATATCTTGTTACCTATAATGACAGTTAATAAGTTGGCATATTTATACTGACAGTGAATATCAGTAGTTCTTCACTTATGACCACAATTTAGCCCAAACTTTATGTTGCTAAGTAAGACATTTGTAAAGTGAGTTTTGTCCCATTTTATAACTTTTCTTGCCATAGCTGTTATGGGAATCACTGCAGTTCTTAAGTTAGGAACATGTTTGTTAAGTGAATCCCCACTGAATTTGCTTGCTAGACGATTGCAAAAGATGATAACATGACCCCAGATTACTGCAACAGTCCAAAATATGAGTCAGTTGCCAAGCGGCTAAATTTCAATCATGTGACCATGGGGATACTAAAACAGTTGTTGTAAGTGTGAAAAATAGTCATAAGTCACTTTTTTCATTATTGTTACTTGGTCACTAAATGAACTGTTGTAAATCAAGGATTACCTGTAAATTGGCAATCTGTTTATTTAGGTATATAAATATCAATTTACATTTGTGATAATCTACAGGGAGACCTAAACAGCTTTTCTCAGTATGGCATCCTGCAGATATATTGGGAGTGAAAATCTAGTTCTAGTCAGCAGTGAGTGCCAATATATGCTGATTATTTTTATTTTTTTGCTCATTTCTGCTTTCTTTTTAATCTGTTAGGTTTCCTCACCATCAGAGCTCTGTATCCCTTAAGAGAAGTTTAATCCTTTCCAGCCGACACGGGATTCGACGCAAGCTGATCAAGCAGCTTGGGGAACACAAAAGGGTCTATCAGTGTAGTATCTGCAGTAAAATGTTCCAAAATAGTAGCAATCTTAGCCGACACATCCGCTCTCACGGTAAATTTCAATTTAGCTGGATTCTTCTTTTACAAAGCAAATTATTGGTGGATAAAAAATCTTTAATCCAGCATACAAAAAGCAGAGAACATTTGGAAGCTGAAGCAGTAATTAAATAGATCAACTGCATGTATTCATTGCTGAGGATAAAGGAATGGTAAAATAATTTGTCAACTACCAGGAGGAGCACTTGTTTGTTTCAGAGAAATTTGACAAAGGAATTTTCAGGGCCTGTATGGATTTTCTAATTTCAGCAATCCTCAATTTCTGCTCCTTTAAGTAACTAGGAATATACCACAGACAATTGAATTTTTAAAACAATTTACAAAAGCACAATCTGTTCATAATTAAAGGCTCTCTAATCTCAGGCTAAATAGAGACTGCTAATTTTTGGAAGCCTCCTGAGATCAAGTTGATTTGCTTTACCTAGCCTAACCATTTCATAATTTTTGGTTTAAGTATTATTACATTTTCCTAAATTTTGCAGCTTTCTAAAAATAATGAGTATTTTTAATTGGTCCTTTAGGTGACAAACTATTCAAATGTGAGGAATGTGGGAAGCTTTTTAGTCGAAAAGAGAGTTTGAAGCAACATGTTTCATACAAACACAGTAGGAATGAGGTTAGTATGGTACTTCTTCATTTATGGAACAGAAATGGATTATGCATAGACACTGGTCAATTTCATACAAAGTCAAGAAAGAAGATAAGTTGCAAAAAATAACCACTTTCCATGCTGACAAGGCAGAAAAATTGCAGTTCTTTTAAAACTATTCTTTTTCCTTTTTTTTTCAAATATTTTACAAGAATGTTTCTTGTTGCTGTTAATGAAAGGGAAATAAAATGTATTTATTTATTTATTTATTATTTTTCATATTCTTAATCACCCATCTCCCTCAGAGAAGGGCTCTGGGCAGTGTACAATATAATCAAAATCAATCTTTGAAATCAGAATAATTTAGGATCATTTTTTTAAAAAAGTATAAAGCATAAAAATTTCAGAAGGTGAAAAATTCTAAGATGGTGGATTAACAATTGTTAATACAGGGGGCGGTGTCGCTACACAGGCAGGTTTTGACCCCTTTGCGGAAGGCCAGAAGATTGGTGGCTTTCCTTACCTCTGAGGATAAGATGTTCCACAATGCAGGGACAGCTGCAGAAAAGGGCTTCTTCCTTGACCCCACCAGTCAAAATTCTCTGACTGACAAGGTCTGTAGCATGACCTTCCCTGCCTGAACAAGTGGGTCAGGGTGATCGGATGGGGCAAAACTGGTTCTTAGGTAACCTGGCCCATGCCATGTATGGCTTTATAACTAATGACCAACACTTTGAATTGGACCCATAAGCAAATCAGCACCCAGTGCAGTTTGACACTCAATATTACTTGTGTCGCTGCACTCTGCATGTGCTGAAGCTTCCAGATACGTTTCAAGGATAATTTTATGTAGAGCACATTGCAATTGTCCAATCAGGAGATGACCAGGGCATGAGTGACTGACTGGATCCTTTCTTTTTTCTCTCTATTCTTAGTCCTAGCATTAGAGAAGTAACCTATCTAGGCAGTCCCATTACTGCATGTGGGAGGCTATTATATAGATGGCCTTTCCTCTCTGCTTTTCACTCTCACTCTTTTTTGACAGGGAGTTCCATTTTATCGTCCAACTGTGATATCCTCCCAGGGACCATAGACCATATGCCTAGTTATTTTGCCTCCATATAAATCTGGGACCTTTACTGTTACAAAAGAGCCTCAAAAATCTTTGTGCAAGGTTTCCTTCTGATTTGAATGTGTCTGATTTTCCTTGATATTATTTGTAGGCAAAGTCCTATTATGGAAACAAATGAAAAACCAGTACAAGTAGTCCTTGACTTACAACAGTTCGTTTAGTGACCATTCCAAGTTACAACAGCATTGAAAAAAGTGACTTGACCATTTTTCACACTTCGACCATTGCAGCATCCCCATGATCATGTGATCAAAATTCAGATGCTCGGCAACTGGTTCATATTTATGACCATTGCTATGTGATCGTCTTTTGCAACCTGACAAGCAAATTCAATGGGGAAGCCAGATTCACTTAACAAACAGGTTACTAACTTATCAGCTGCAGTGAATTACTTAGCAACGGTGGCAAGAAAGGTCATAAAATGAGGCAAAACTCATTTAACAAATTTATCACTTAACAACAGAAATGTTGGGGTCAATTGTGGTCATAGGTTGAGGACTACCTGTATTTTAAAAGAATAAAGTATGACATATTTCTTGTGTCCTCTCTAGGTTAACAGTGAATATAGATACAGATGTGCTACGTGTGAGAAAGCTTTTCGGATAGAAAGCGCATTAGAATTCCACAACTGCAGGACAGGTATGATAACGATCAGGTAACTCCGATTTATATGAAATGGTATTGGGTTTTAATTCTCTGATAAGAAAAGACAAACAAAATTGAAAAGTAGGTACAGATAGTCGTTGAATTACAATGATCGCTAAGCAATGTAGTAATAAAGCACAGTGTCACGTGATTGCATTGCTTAACGATGGTAATCCTTGCAATCCCTGTTACTATTCATGAGTGAGGATCATGGATCATTAAGTGAGCACCTCCTTATGAGGAGAGGGAGACTTACCAATGCCACTTGCAACTTTCCTTTCTGGCTTCCCCATTGACTTTGCTTGTAGGAAGCCAGCAGGGAAGGTAGAACTGTGGTAAGTGCAAGCTGGCTGCCAACCACCCAGATTATGATCATGTGACTGCGGCTGTACCAGGACAGCCAGAACTTTGAGGCCCAATCATAACCACCACTCATTCAATGCTGCAAAAATTTCAGTGGTTGCTGAACAAGTCTGCTGCCCCATTCACTCACACACACAACTAACTGTTCCCCAGCAATTCCTTCACTAAGACTCAGAACTGTTTCAATTAAGTCCAGCTACAAGCAGGCCAAGATTAGTCCACAAAGCAATGGCCCAATAGTCCATAAAGCACTTGAAAGTTGCTCCAACAAATAACCCCACCAAACAAACCCACCAGGCAAAACTTAAATATGAGAGCTCATTTGGCAAGAAAAGTTCAGAGACTCCAAGACACAATTCCAAACACTGTGTCAATCCAGGGTGAATCAGGAATCATGGCAATCAGATAGCTAGAAAACCAACACGTTCCCAGCAATGCCTCCCTGTGTATGCTGTGATAGCCAGCTTTCTGATATAGCCCATCAAGAGAGGTGGAGCCTTCTCCTCTCAAGTAGTTTGGGTGACCTCTGTTGCTCCTGTCTTCTCTCTGCCCTGCAAGTTTTTGGCTCAAGTACAGAAGGCAGTTCTCCTCCTCTTCGCTTGACTATCTGCCACAGCAAGCTTTCCCCATCTGAAGCCTCCTCCAATTCTCTTTTGATCAGCCGTTCAAAGGCATTATTCATCTCAGTTCCTAATGTACCAGGAATGGGTTCAGCCTCCCTTGAGCTGACCTCTGAAGAGGAATCTGTGGAGTCATCCAAGGAAGACATCACAACAAGTGTTGGTTAACCAACGGCTACTTGTGTGTCTTAATTTACATAGCCAGCTAAAATGTGAATAATCTACAGATAATTTCATCTGAATGAGATTTCAGATGATGTTTTATTGGTTGTATCTTCATTCTGTCTTTTTTTTACTGGCTGAGTTTAATGTTGTGTTGTTGTTTTCTTTAATTTTAAATTTTTTACAATATGATTAATCACTTTGAATCTGGTGGTTTTATAGCATAAGACAGAGAAAGCTGTTTCTTCTGTTTTAGAAATTGCTCCTGTAGATGTGTACAGGTAGTCCTCAACTTACAATAGTACAACAGCACTGAAAAGTGACTTATGGCCATTTTTCACATTTATGACCATTGCAGAATCCCCATGGCCACATAATCAAAATTCAGATGCTTGGCAACTGACTCATACCATATTTTTCGGAGCATAAGACACAACAGAGTATAAGATGCAACAAGGTTTTGAAGAGGAAAAAATTTAAAAAAACGTTTTTGCACTCTGCAAACCTCCCCAAAACAACCCGTTTTTTGTGAAAACTGGCCCATTTTTTCCTCCAAAAAAAGACATGAATAGCCTATATGAGGCTTGCAGAGTGCTGCTTGGGGGTGGTGCCCCCCCCAAAGGAAGCAAAAATCAGCCCGTTTTTTGGAGTATAAGATGCACCTTTTTCCTTCAAAAAAGAGGCTGAAAATCTGAATGCAGCATTTTCTGCCTCCCGAAACTGCACCCTCTTCACCAATATGGCCCTGCATAGCAGGAAGGAATGTAGGAAGCTATTAGGGAGCTCCTGGGGCCTGGGGAGGGCAGAAATGAGTGAAAAACGGTCCATCTAGAAGCTTCCTAAAGGCTATCCATGCCCTTTTTTTAATGAAAAATGGGCCCATTTTCATGAAAAACTGGCCAATTTTTGCTCTTTTTTGTCCCCCCAGGAGCACTCTGCAAGCCCCCTAAAGGCTATTAATGCCTTTTGGGGGAGGAACAGGCCCATTTTTTACGAAAAACAGGCCGTTTGGGGGAGGTTTGCAGAGTGCAAAAACTTTTTTTTTAGTTGCCTCTTCAAAACCTTGGTGCGTCTTATACTCCCAAAAATATGGTACCTGTTGTGGCCCAGCAGGAGCCATTGGCCACCAGGTGGCGGCAGAGCATTAGCTCAGAGGGAGTGTTCAGGGAAACATTTGGGAGTTGTTGCAGGATGCACCCCGTAGAAG